GTATCACTGATCCAGTCCTCCAAAGGTGATGATTTTGCTTTTAAAGTCCTAATTATCCTTTTGCATTGGGCATTAGCATTTTCAAAAGCCATTGTTTCAATTATTATTTTTCCAGTCTCTGAGTCTGATATTGTTCTATTAACTGCTAATGACAGTCTTTGTAAGAAATCTGTAAATGCTTCCTTTAGGCCTTGTATAACTTAGTAAATAATTTAATTTTTTCTTGCCTCTCCAGTTCTGTCCCAAGCATTCAAAGCTGCTGCACAGATTAAAAATATGAGATGATCATATTGACATTGCCTTTCTAAAGTAGCATAATCTCCTCCCAGAATTTGATCTTGGGAGATATATATACCTCTAATTTTAGCCTTTTGTTCAATAATCTTAGCCTCTTCTCTGAACAGGAAGCCCATTATAATTGTGGTCCAGGCTCTAGGACAGCTTTAATCAAATACATCCAATCTACAGGGATAACCCTTTTACAAACAAACCATGTGTTTATCATCTGCTTCGAAGTGGTGAATGAATGCCATACGAGACTACAACTTACTTGAATTTACCTAAATCTAACATCCTTACAGTCTTCCAAGTAGCTCTTATAGACTCACCTTCATTTGCCATTTCCTGGAAAGTTACTGGATATATTAAAGGTTGTTCTCTTAAGACCTTAGAGTGTTCATGTTTAACCTTAAATTGTAATGCCTAATTTGATTTTCCAAGTAATTCCTCAGTTTTGGTTTTGAATATCTCTATAATCTGTTGTAATAAATTTTTCTAAGACCTGCATCTTAGCACTCACATTAACCAACTTTTTGAGACATAAACCAAGAATTATCAAAACAACAACAAAGATTATCAAAATGACAATTGACAGTATCTCAATTGCATTTAAGTTGATTATCCCTTCATTTACTTTTTCCATTTTAAGCCATCTATTATGTAATCATAATGCAGATCTAATTTCCTCCATTTTAATAGTGCTTTCCATTTTTTTACTGTGGGCAAAAAAACCTCTCTTTTTTAACTAATCTCTTTCTTTTAAGAATTTCCAATTAACTTATCATATCAGCTGACAATGTCAGTGAACTAAGAGGCATAGCCCACCTAATTCTGAGAGCTAGCTTTCGACCATGAGCTGAGAGTGTCAGCCCAATGGTAGAGGGGCTCTAGGGAAAGCCTGAAAGTCTCCTGAGTTTGGATGGCAGCTAAAGACTGTTTAGAAATGTTACAACTGGAAAACCCCAAACTTGCTCAAATATTTGAAGAATAAGCAAAAGAAAATCTAGCTGGTCAGGCAAAAGACTCAAGCAGGAGGGACTCACTCCGGAAGGAATACTTCCTATAGCTCAGGGTTGGGCCTGGGCCCATGGCCTCAAGGTGACTTTTTGGTGAATTTGTATTTTAACATTGGGTGCCAATATGTAACATGAAAAATAAAATGACCGAAAGACTGATTTTGGAGTTCAACTTTCAAGCTGAATATCAGAAAAGCAAAGCAGCTGGCCACTAACTCTCACCTATAACTCAGGCTGAAAGGGCTGTTCCATGCACAAGCTCTTCTTCACCATGCCTCAAACTTTTGCCTCTCCTCAGTGTGGCTGGATAATAAATGCCTCATCCTGAATCCTGAAGACCCTGCTTCTTCCTTTTATACCCCTCTAGTGCTGAGATTGAAGGTGTATGATCTCTTAGTCTTTTAGACTGATTCACTCTTATGTAGATCTGGGTGGCCTTGGACTCACAGAGATCCATCTACCTCTTAATCCTGAGGCCTGGGATTAAAGGTGTGTGCCTGGCTTCCATGGTTTGTGGCTGCCTTTGCTTTCTCAATCTTCATGCAAACTTTAATAGATCATAAATAATATATCACTCCACTAACATAATCTAATTTAGATACCCCTCTCAGATATGCCCAGAGACTTGTCCCCTAGGTAATTCTAGATCCTGTCAAGTTGACAGCCTATATTAACATCACAGAATGGAAGAAAGTGAACAGAATCAACTGGTTTTTGGAAAGAGGTATGCAACACTTGCTCAAATTGGATGCAGACATAAAAAGAGAAATAAGTGGACTTGCTTCACAGATCTCAGCCTCAGTTATCTCAACAGAGAGGACACCCTGAGAGGAGTGAACTTAAGGTGGAACTTTAGGTTTACAATTATGTTAATGTAATAACTTAGCAGGCAGACTCTTAGATCAATCATATCAACCTTCTTCCGTTTGGAAGCATAAGACCTCCTTGAGAAAGATTCCATTCTTGTTCCCGGAAGAGTACCTTGGCTAGTCTGTGAAAATCAAATGCAAAAAGAACCTCTTGCCCTTAAACAGGTATTTAAGACCTGCTCCTCAGAGTCTGGGTAAAGCATGTGAGAAGAGAAGCTGGCTTACTTGTTAAACCCAGGAGCAGGGGCTCCTCAGAGGAGATTGTCTAGACTGTAAGCACATTCGAAAGCATAGGAAACACTGAGCACTGAATGCCATGAGCCAGGTATAACTCCAAAGGTTCAAGAGGGAAGTTCTCCAGGCACAGGGGACTGTGGCACAGCTGTCAGATGGCACTGTAGTCCCTGGAAATAGCCATCCCCACCATAAGCCAGATGAACTCTCTCACATCTTATGTATTGATGAATGATATACACGTATAAGATGGAGTCCTGGAGACCAAGATGAAGTCAATTGTAGAGCCAGAAGCAGCATGGATCACTTTGAGACAGGACAAGACCAGTGTTTGATGACATCACATGGTAGTGAAGGAGGCAGCAAGGAAACTTCTATGGGACTGTGAAGATAGGGGACATTCTGAAATATTTCCTATGCAAGCATGGAGAACCAAGTTTGAGTCCCCAGAAACCGTGTAAAAACTCCAGGGATGATGATTTGCACTTGTGACTCTAGCCCTGGAAAGAAAGAGGCACTTTAGCCCCTGGGCATGCCTGGTCAGCTAACCTAGCCAGTTAAGTGAGCTCCAAGCCTGTAGGTGTTTCAGAAAATCAGGTGCAGGCAGGGAAGATAGCTCAGCAGTTAATGCTTACTATTCAAGATCAGTGCCCATGGAAAGCTGGACACAGTTGTGACATGGGATGTGGAGACAAGAGAGTCCCTGGAAACTTTCCGTAGGTAGAGTTTTTGGCAGTCCAGCTCCCCAAATAACCACACAGAGACTTATTATAAATGCTCAGGCAATAGCATAGGCTTCTCACTATCTAGTTTTACAACTTAAATTAACCCTTATTTCTTATCTACACTCTGCCATGTGGTGGTACCTTGCTTCAGCACAACATGTTCATCTCTTGCTTCCTCTTTGTCTGACTTTCCCACTAAATACTCTCTGCCTAGCAATTGGCTCTTTATTAAACCAATGAGAGTAACATGTATTCACAGTATACAAAAAGATTATTCCACAGCAACTTTCAGGCCAACTACCCTGGCATACACAGCATTGAACAAGAAACCCTGTCTCAAACAAAGTGGACAGCAAGGACTAGAACCCAGTTTTACTCTCTGACTCTGCAAGACTCTTGGAGCAAAAGTGTTACCTCACTCATACACATTTATAGGTGTTCACACACACACACACACACACACACACACACACAGAAGAATAAAAGTAATTAATTAAAGGGTGACTGGCTCCTGAGGAACAAATACCTAAGCGTGACTTCCAGCCTCCACATACACAAGCAGACAGTAAATACACCCTCTTTTCCACACACACACACAGAAGTTTGGGAGTTTGTTTTGGTTTTGGTTTTAAAAAAAACTATGGATATCTGGGATTATTGGTTTTTGTTTGTTTATCGGGTTTTGGTTTTTTGTTTTTGTTTTTTTTTTTGAGCAGGTCAGTTTTGGAACATTTGGGTAAATCAAAGTTAACTGGAAGGAATACATAGTAGAATTTCTATTAAGCCAGCAAGAGGGTGGTTGAGCTGTTAAAGAACATAAGACGTTTGACTCCATGTATTAAAAGGGACTCACTACCAGCTGGAGTTAGCACAATGGCTCCACTTTTATTTAAAGTCTCCCACACGAGAGAAAGCCAGCAATGCTATACATTCACACATTGTTGCACACGTCTGTCCGTCCATCCGCTTCTTTGTTTTCCAAAATGATTTTGTAATTATGGAAACATTTCCTCTTTCTGCCAGCTCATTACCCCATCTCCTCATTTTGACTGCGGAACTGCTCACACCCTTGTTCCATGTAGTTCAGACGGACTTACCTGTGCCCAGAGCGATGGAAGCCATGCTTATCTCAGGAAATGATGACTGTGTGGCCCGAGCTGTCAGGACTCTTCCTGTGACTTTCTGAGTGTGAGTGTTTGGTGTGATGTGGGGCTTTCTCTGTAATCAGACCCTCAAAGGATAATGAAAACCTGGAACCAGTTGCCAAGCGGAAACCATAATAACTGGAGGTTGAAAGTACCATCATTCTTATCTCAAAGGATTGAAAACTTCTCGATAAGTGGTTCCCAATCTGTGGGTCACAAGCCCACAAGGCTCATGTATCAGATATTTATATTATGATTCATAACAGTAGCAAAATTATAGTTATGAAGTAGAAATGAAATACTTATATGGATGGGGGTCACCACAGCATGAGGATCTGTGTTAAAGGGCTGCAGCATTAGGAAGGTTGAGAATCACTGCTCTAGAGGAGAGGAGTGATTTTTGAAGGGAAGGGCAATGGGCCCTCTGACTGATACAGTTGGATTCATCTAAAAAAAAAAAAGTGGGAGATAAGGAGAAGACTGGAAATGGAACAGCATTCCATCGCCCACAACAAGTAGAGTGTTCCTTCTCAAGTTCAAAGAGAACCCAGAGTAAATGATGCCAGTGATATCTCTGGATCTCTTGGTAACAGATTCTCACCAGTGACACACAGCAGAGACAGACAAAGCAGCAAGTAAGTGTATTTACCTCCTGATTTTGTCTCATGATGAAGAGGCCTATTTATTATTTTTAAATATTAATGCACTAAAACTCATTAATAAACAGAAATCTGCCTTTGATAGGTGTATTTTATTGTGCAAACTACCACATGCTTTACAGAAGGACTGTGATGATGACCCCATGTCCATGTGGACCCTGACACAAGTCTGCTCTGGAAGGGCAGACTCGAGTCTGGAGACGGGGTTTGCTTCTTCTCTTGCTTTGGTTGTGTGCTGTCAACTCGCTATTGCTGTGACATATCTCTTAGAGGAAAGGCTTGTTTTAGCAGTTTCAGAAGTGCCGGTCCTGGCCTGTGGCAGCAGTGGAGACCATGGTGGAGTAGGGGAGGAGAGGGGGAGAGAGGGGGAGAGAGGGGGAGAGAGGGGGGAGAGGGAGAGAGGGGGAGAGAGGGGGGAGAGGGGGAGAGGATAACACCAGTGTTTCAGTACCTCCTTTGAAGTTTTGCTCCCATCGCTCCAATTTCCCACACCAAGTCCCACACCGTGTAAGTTCTTCCTCCTCCCCAAAACACACTAAGTATCTAAAAAGACTCAAAAACATGACTTTTGGGGGAACATTTGAGATCCAACCTGTAGCAAGCTACACCAAAACATAACTTACCCGTGATACATACTCCAATGCGTGGTATAGTGTTCTATATAAATATTCAAGGCATCTATTTATTTGTATATATGGATTTTTTGTACATAATGAATGGCAGCTGCATATACATCACTTATCTATCAATAAGGAGACAAGCAAGTCATCCATTCCTTGAGTCCTGTTCTAACTAGTACATTCCTTTGTTTCACAATACACTTTTTCCAGGTTTGTAGATAATCACAAAGTGACTTTTGTGTTTTGTTCTCATTTGTTTTAATCTCTTTCTCCAAGGAGATAAATATGGGCTGTGAGTGTTCAGAGGAAAAGGAGAAGAGTCTGACTTTATCCATTACTTCATAATTAATTCAGTACCAAACATTTACATAGCCATAGATCAACAAATGTAACTGATTTATAGAAGGTTAGCTTTTCCCTGACAACAGACATACCCCACATTTATTCAGCTTTGAGTGGATCTCAGTCCTTACATTCTGTCCCAACCCAAAATCCTTTTGGTGACAAAAGCAATTTCACTATTACTCCATTGGTACCTGAGTGTTTCATTTGACACAGTCGCTAACTAGTTCTTACTAACCCCCTTCCCCTAACTACCAACATTCCACATCAGCAAGGATTATATCCGAGAGGGTCCTTCCCACATGTCAGCCAGAGGACTGGTTCCTCAGCAGTTCTTCAAATAGCACATACAATGAAGTAAGTGTGCCTGTGATTGGTCATTGAGACCGTAAAGCAGCAGCTAAGCACAAGCCCTTGACATCTCCATTCATTTCTATAGTGGCTAAATTTTATTAAAGTCCAGCAAAATTGGAGTTAATTTTATTTAGCCCAAATGAGCTTTAAAACAGCCTTCCCAATTAGCATAGTTCAGCGATTTTACCATCCCATAGTGATTATGAAAAATTACTGCTGGTGATTTTTCAAACCTGTCCTCCATATAAGATCAGACTTTATTAAGGATTATAGCACCACTGCAGATCATGCTCAGCCCTCACTGCTTCCTAGTGTTTTAAAATAGGTGAATGGCAGCTCAAGACATTCTGCAGGAAGGACTCTAGAACTCTACACAAGGTCCCACTCAGTTCAGTGTGGACCGTCTTTAGTGTGGGTATCACTTTTTGGTTTTTATTTTTGTTGTTGTTGTTGTTCTCAGTTGTGTGTCTGGATTAAAGAGAAAACAGTCTGGTTCAATAGCCAATACCCCTCTCAATTTTCCAAGGCTGGTCTTGAAGCAGTCTCGTAGCTTCACACGCAGTGAGGGAATCTCAGCCACTTTTGTGGCTCAGAAGCCCATCATTGAAAACCAGGTGTACCCCGTGACAGATCAATTCCCAATTAAATTTGGCTTTTTTGCTTCTCAATTGAATGATGCTCTTTGGCACTGGTGACTGCGTGTTGCATGCTGAACACTAAAGAAAAGACTAGCATCAGGAGACTGAAATCCCCTGCTTACTTGATTATCACTTTCCATTTGCCACAGGAGAAGTTTTTTTGGTCTCTGAAACGCCCTTGGCTTCCAAGGTTAGCATGGTAGGTACTGTATGTGTACTTCATCCAGTGATTTCTCTGTAACATTCAGGAAACTAGTCCCATCAGGCAGTTTCATATTCTTCAGATGGTATTACAGAAGAGAGCTCAATCCAATCCTACCCCCTCATCCCCAACTCCTCATTCTCAGTTGCACAGACCTATCAAATTCAGTAGCTAGAGCAGGTCACAGAACCAGCAAATGAACCACAGTCAGACATACAGAGTGGGGGACCTGTGCCACACTGAGATCACTGCCCAGGTGTATCCCTTTTCTCCTTGCTTTGGGCGAAGCTTCTTAAGGGAAAGAGTTTATTTTTGCTCAGAACTTAGACTGTACAGTCCATCCTGGGGTGAGGGACAGACGACTCCTGAAGCAAAGGAAGCAAATCTCTATAGCTTTCCAGGAAGCAAAGACGGGACAGGAAGCAGGCCCAGGCTGTCATCCTCAGGGTCAGCCACCAGTGAACAAGTTTCGGCTCTTAAAGGATCAGCCTACCAAACAGTGAGACGAGCAGAACAAGTGCTCAAACACTTGAACCTTGGGCTCAGTACCACCTAGGCACAGCTCTCTTTGCTGCAGCTCTTGCTATTTTTTAGTACTTGTGATCTGGCCCACAGAGTCACGCTGCTGGGCTGACATAGCCCCTTCTTATAGCATTTTCCTAAATGGGGACATTCTGAAATACAGTCCACTGCTTTTAGAAATACTTCCTGAACTACAAGCTGGGGAAATGGTTCATTCAGTAAGGAGGACCTGCGTGAGGTACAAAACCACAAACTGAAATCCCAGTTTGGGGGAATTAGAGATGGATGGTTCCCTTGAGGTTTACTGCACAATCTAGAAAAATTGGTAAGCTCTGGGTTCAGTAGGTGACCTTGTCTCAAAACATAAGGTGGAAGGTGGCTGAGAAAGATACCTAACATGGACCTCTGGCCTCCACATGTATATACACACATCCCTACACACATACAAACACATATAGACACAAACCCGTACACTTCATACACACAAACAAAATAAATGATATTTTCTAAACTAAAATCTGAAGGACACTAAAGTTTAAAGAGGACATATTTGTTGTTTGTTTGTTTATTTATTCTTTGAGAGCTTTTATGTCTAGAATAAGGAAATTTCATGGAACTATCTACACTGGTTGACTTGAAACGGCAAGCAGCATATTGAGTAATCTAAGAATTTGTCTCTATTTGTGTAAGATAATTGCAGTGTTTTCTTTCTCTCAAAACAAATAGATGATATCTATTGCCTATTAATATACATTTAATCATGAATAAAAAGGCCACAGTAATCTTCATCAAATAGCCCAATACATATACCCTTCCAAGCTGGACCATATGACTGCTTCTGACCAATCGTCACTAAGCTGTAGAGGTGAGAAGGCTAGTTATATTCTTGTAGTATTTCTCTTTACCATAGCAATAAATAGGCCACATTACCCAGCAAGGTGCAGATGTAAGGTGGTACAATCCACATCAAGTGGGTGTGAATGAGCTGATTGCTTCCTCTACTCTTTTGTACATTGTGTGCTGCTGTTATGCCGCACCTGGCATTATGTGATTGTTATCCAACAGAAGTTTATTGTCTCATAGTTCAGGAGACTGGAAAGTCTCTATGAGGATGCAAGCACTGATAATGGCTTTCCTCTGTGGCCTGTGCTGTCCTAAGCCAGAGGTACCACTTGGTGGGAGGACAAAGAGGAAAGAACCAGCAAAAGGGAGCAACAAGGACCTTGTTCTGTTTATGAAGGCAAAGCCTCTTAAGGATCCCCCTCTCAGCTGTCATCACGATGCTTAAAGGTCAAAGCAAAATAGAGAGGGAACAGATATGTAAGCCACACATGGAATGAGCAAGCTAAGCAAGAAATTTCCAGTGTTTAGGCATTTTGTTTGTTTGGTTGATTTATTTATTTGAAGTTTTTTCTTTTTCTTTTCTTTTAGGGGGTGGGTGAATTAAATTAGCCTGGCCTAGCCAGAATAAAGCAATAGCCAGACAATAGAAGTCAGCTTGTGAACTTGGTGGCTACTGCCTGGTCTGCATCTCCCTTTAGCAAGGATTCTGGTAATTCTGTCAGCTCTCCTTCCTGATGACCCCGGCCTGCCTTCAACAAGAACATTCATGGATTTTTTTTAAACCCAGTCTCTCCTTACTCTTCTGCTTTCTCTCAGTCTGTGTGTGTGTGTGTGTGTGTGTGTGTGTGTGTGTGTGTGTGTGTGTGTTCAGGGGTTGGGGAGTTGCAAGGTAGGGGATATTCACCCACTAACTCCTATTCTACCATGAACTATGAACCATGTATTCCCTGTTGGAGTAGTCCAAATAAACAAGCAAGCTATGTCTAGACAAGCAGACTGTGTCTGGACAACCAGACTTCCATTGCAAGATGCCTGGCTATTGCCTTGTTTGGGCTAGGCCAAGCTAACTTAATTCACCTACCAAAACAAACCAAAAAAAAACTCAAATAAATAAATCAAGCAAACAAGTCAGTGCTAATTTTTTGGACCACTTAATTGTCAGTCTGTGCATTCTCCTTCAGAGGGCTCATCCTTCACGTGGAGTCCCTCTGGACTTGGACCTGCTTATAACTTCTAAACTGGAGTAATGCATAACTATAATTGCCTCCATCAATTCTGTAGAGGACATTTGCTTAACCACCTCCTACTCTTCCAAATTTTTTTTATCTCCATAAAAGCAAATGTGAATGCCCCACATGAAGCTGCAGACGATGCTGCTTAAAATTGCCTTATGGGAGTGGGAAGGAAGGGTAGTGGATCTCCTCCCTAATGCTCTGCTTAAAGTTAGGACCTGCTCATTTTACTCTGCACTCCTGTAGGTCACCATAATGATGAACTCTAACTTTGTTAATGGCATATGGAAATGTGGGAGGAGGGGCGTTCGATGATGGACTTGAGAGACTAAGCAACAGCTTTGGTTTCAAAATGCAGTCTTCCATGGAGGTGGGAATCTGTGCTGAGGATGCCAGATAGAAGGCCAGTATCCCCGGCTCTGGCCCTCAGTGTATGAGCACTCTCCTTATTTGTGCTGAAGAGCTACCAGGGCAGACAGACCTCTAGAACCACCAAAGGCTGGAGGAACAACAGAGAGGAGGGGATGGAAGGAACCTGGGAGCAGAGCAGAAAGGGTGAAACAGCCATGAAGTGCTGTCCCAGCAGCAATGGCTTGCCTCCCTGGAACCTGCACTAGACTGGGCCATTAACTTTCCATCGTGGCTGCTGGAGGGGCTCATGAGGCCCCACTGCTCTCTAGAGAGACATGGGCAGTTAGGTAATGGTTGTAGAGGAAAGGAGGAAGTCATAGTCCTCAGTGGTTTAGCTACTGGTAAGTTACCCTGACCCCAGTAAATAAACCCCAACTCATTCTCATGCAAGAAGCCCCAATTAATTGCACTGAACCACACCTGAAGACATGGAAATAGAAGGGAGACAGTATGGAGAAGCTGAGACTAGGGGCGGGGGGCAATAAGATCAAAGTACTTTGATATGTTTGGAAATGTTGAAGAATAAAAATATTTAAATAGTGAAAATTAATACCAGAAAAACATAAAACAGTAACAAAGAAGCATTTGGGAAAAAAATAAAGCAAGCGGATGTAGTAAATTTCAAGGGAAATGCTATTTTATCTTTTGACCAAATAGTACATTTCAATGGAGATTTGGATGACCAGATTGCTGGTTGTCTGTCAGCCAAGTGCTAAGCAGGGACTAGGTGGTCTTCTGGAAGGCTGGGAAGTGTCAAAAGAAAAACCACCTAAAGTTTGAACCAAAAGCCAATTTAGGTGAAGCTGAGCAGATGGGTCCATTGGAGACTTCAAGCCCAAATTATAAAAAGAAAGGAGAGAGAGAAAAATGGGCAGAGAGAGAGAGAGAGAGAGAGAGAGAGAGGGAGAGAGAGGGAGAGAGAGAGAGAGAGAGATTTTATAAGCCCACCAGGAATACTCAGAAAGCAATGTTAGACAATGTTAGAGACTAACATACTTATCATTTGGGCCAGGCCTTGGCTGTGCAGGCTGGAGACTGCCCCACTGTCTTCCCAGACCCGGCTTCATTCCTCATTAGTAAATTGCAGAACAAGATGAAAGTCAAGTGCAGCTGAGACCTCTGTGGGCGGCAGAGGAGGGGCGGCTCCTCCTAGGTCAAAATGGAGTCTGTCACTTGCTGAGATAAAATTTGTACTTTTTTTTCCTAAACCACCAGCTGAGTCCCTCTCTGTTCCCTCCACGCTGAGTCATCGGGCAATCATTGGGCACGGATGGGGTTCTGGCAGCAACAGCATTTCTATACTCCCCTCCGCCTTCCACCCCACCCCACCCCACCAGCTTCTCTTTCCAAAGGTTCTATTTGGTGATGGAAAGCAGAAGGGGGAGAGAAAGACTTTGAAATCCATTTAGCAGTTCTGTGCACTGCTTCTAAAGGATTATTTCTGAGGGTACAAGGAGTGTTTGTAAAAGACACTCGGTTCCTTGACACCTAAAGTTTATTAAATGTATCTTTCTGCTGCTGTACGGGACTAATCTATGAGACCAGTAACTGCAGGATGTTAGTATGTCTTGTGTGATTCCATTTAATGTCCACTGATAATTGCTGCATGCCTAGCCACGACAGTATTTCTTTAAAATGTAAATCTGGGGACAATGATTCAGGGGGCAAAGTACTTGCTATTCAAACATTAGGACCTGAGTTGGGGTTCCTGATGCCCATGTATAAATCACCTGTCATCCCTAGCCCTGGTGGGATGTTACCTCTGGGGAGACAAAGGGATCTCTAGAGCTTGCTGGCAGCAGTCCAGCTGATACACAGTAAGCTTAGTGAGAGACTTCCTCTTAGGGAATAAAGTGGAGAGTGACATAGGAGCACATTGGACATCTTGGACATGGGCATGTTCACCTACACACACACATACACATACCACACACATGCACATACATACATACATACATACACATACACACACATGCACACATACACATACATACACACAAACACATGGATACACACATATACATACTACACACATATACACATACACATGCGTACACACACATACACACACAGACACACATATACATGCATACACACACACACATCCACACATATACATATGGGCACACACAGCAAATGTCAAAATACATTGTTTCAATTATTATAACCTCTGATGTTCTACTGAAAATTCACTACTATCTGTTAATGGGAATAAAGTAAAATTATTTTTCCTTTTGAAGACACAAGTGCTATGACGTAATCCAGTGTTTCACAGCTTCCTTTTCCAGTCATCATGACTTGTGATGTATGACTGACATTATGGTTCCCTTAGAGGAGGATGTATCTGACTGACTGACAGACAAAGTGAGTGATGTCTCTAGATGTTCCAGGTAACCAGCTCTGAAAGTCTGTAATTAACAAAAGCTATGGGCCAGAGGTATAACAGGAATATTCCATAATGTGAAAAACAAACAAGCAAAGATAAAACAAACCCTCACTGAATGTGAATCAAGTTGACAAACCAAAGCAACCCTTAGACCACCCCAAAGAGCCATTTTGCAAATATCAATTTCTTAAAGTGGCTAAACAACAAATATGTGTGTATGCCTTTTCTTTTTGAATTAGACTTCAGCTTCCTTGAAACTAGGACTAATGCTTTTTAATTCAGAATGAAACTTTCCAAATAAAACCAGGGCAAGGGCTCAAGTGGGTTGTTGCCCAAGCATGAGGACCTGTGTGGAACACCACGTTCTGTTACCTAGGCATTGGCAGAGAACGGACACAAGGAAAGTATTGGAGCTTGCAGACTGCCAGTCTAACTCCGGGTTCAGTGAGAGACCCTGTCTCAACACAATATGGCAGAAGGAAATAAAGCAAGCCCCTGGATATCCTCCTCTGGCTCCAGGTGCTCCTGGGCATATACATGTGCACACATATGCGCATATACAATGTGCACATTCACATAAAATTTTAAAAAGAAAGGAAAAAAGTCACAGTTGTCAGCTTACTGAACGAATGGTTCAACAACAGCAGAAATATAAGACACATCAAAATAAGAGAGGTCTCAAAGCTCCCTGCCCACAGCCTGTTTCTTTCCATTATAATTCTTTGCCATGGGGTTTCCATCTGAAAGGTTTTTGGCCAGAGGCAATAACATTTGGGAAGAATAGACTTATGAACATCTAAAAACATTGTAATAGACACGTGACACAGAGATCCTAAAAGCTTGGCACTGGCTCCCTTTTTCACAGCTGCGTTTCTAAGAGAGAATCCCGCCTCCATATCCCAGGAGTCTCTATACAATGTATGAACTGCTGAGCGTCTAGTGACAGACCCCGAATTGATGGTCCAGTTCCCTGAGGTCCCTTTGGAACCCTTCATCCCCAGCCTGATCCTGCAGGAGCCCTGCTAAGTAGCAGCTTGGAGCCTCTGGGGTTAGCTTTAAGACAGCTCCAGGGATGTCCTGAAGCCCTGCCTAGATGTTAGAGTCACAATCCCAGTTTGCAATTTATATTATTAGAACCAAAGGGAAACAGTGGGCTCTGTCTTAGCCACATGAGTGCTTTTCTGAATAACTTTACTCCAAGCACAGCATGCCTAAAACAAAATCAGACTTGACAAATACTATAGAAATGGGCATATTCTTTGTTTTCCTGTGGTGTGGTCTACTAATTAAAGAAACTTTTGCCACAATGGCTTTTTTCTGTTCATGTGCTGTGTGTAAACTAAGAGCTGAACTTAGTTGCATGTCCCAGTCTCAGAGGTAGAAGTCTTGGGATCTCATCTTTAGCCACCATCTGGGCACTGGACTCCATAGTGACTGCTGTCACTTATAATTCCTGCCCTTCCCTACCTAAACTGGATGCTGTGCAGACAAATGAGAAGGCTTAGGGCCACCCTCTTCCCTGTCCATCTGACTCAGTGCAAGAACCACACTAGGTTCTGGACCAGAATACAACAAAGCTGGGCCACAGCTTAAAAAAAAAAAAAGACAAGCTTGAGCCAAGCTGAGGCCCTGTGGGAGACAGAGGCAGAGAGTTCCAACTTAAGGGTATCACATGGTAAGACGAATCAGTTTCATGAATTCACATGGTTCTGTAACATCCTTGACCCAATGATTATATTATCATGGAATTCTGAAGTAACAGTATTAAGAACAATGCAAAAGAGACCATATTTCCATTTACTCCTAAATTGTGTAGGCCAACCTTTGTGTTCTTCATTTGGTGTCTAAAATACTGAAAGGGAAGTAGTACTGAAAAGGAATTAAGAACAGTTTCATCTGGGTCCACCGGGGACATTATTTATGATGCCTCCTGGCTTTGAAAACCCCAGTCCAATGCTAAAGTGCTGCAAAAGTCTGAGAACTACAGAAAATCCAGTTATTAAGCTTTCAATAACCCAACACTACAATGGTGTCACATTGTTATAGTTAAAGTGGATTTTTCCATAAAGCTACTCTCTTACTTAGCGAAAGAAATGCTTAGGATGTGAACACTTGTCTTACTCTGCCCTCTCTCCAGCTGCTTTTCATGCCCCCTCTCAGTTCAGCTGACCTAGTCTCTAGTTCCCAGAGACTTCCCAAGCAGAGACACCCACAGAGCAGCAAATAGAAGAAGCAGGACCTGGAACAATTCCGCCTTTGCTCAGTGGTAACTGTGAGCAATTATCTGAGCTGCTGTGTTTTGCTTTTTCTGGACAAGTTTACATACATTTCCACTAGAATCCCAAGATTATCAGCTATTGTTTCTTTGGGGACTCCCCATTTTACCTGACTCTACTCTCCCCAGTTGTGAAAGCGAAATAAGCAAATTAAAAAGCAGTTGTGTATTCTCACTATACTGAAACTGGCAGTGCACACCCAAGACATCAATGTATAGAACTCCATGATAAACAATTGCTACAGACATGTGATGCCCAACTCTTTGGGGAGATAGACATGTTACAGTGTTCTGAGACTCTAGGAAAGCCTCAACTGTGATCTACTGAGGAGTTCTACTTACTGACAGTCTCAGCGAACATCCAGTTATCAGACTTTCAACAAACCAGCAGCAGAGAAGGATACATCTTACAGTTCAAGTTCCTCTTTGTATGAGGAGGCTAGAATGAGAATGTCCTCGATATGTTCATATTTGAATAGTTGGTAGAACTATTTGGGAAGGATTAGTAGGTGTGGCTTTGCTGGAAGAGTCATATTACTGGGTGGGGCGGGCTTTGAGGTTACAAAAAACAAAACTAGGCTTCCTCTGTCTGCTGATTGTGGATTAAGATGCACGCTTTCAGCTACTGCTCCTTCCTACCTGCTGCTAAGCTTCCCACCATGATGGTCATGGAGTCACCCATTGAAATGTTATGCAAGCCTTCAATTAAATGCTTTCTTTTTTACAATATCTTGGTTGTGGTGTCATTTCAGCATTAGAAAAGTGATTAAGAGAGAGGTATCTTTTTATTGGAAGGGATTTTGAAATTTATTTGAAATAGCTGAAAAAGTATAATTCTGTGGAATGAAATGTACTATGCAGCCACTTCCTTAGAGTTGGTCTGTCTTGAATAGGCAGAGACATGGATGTTCAACTGTGTACCTTCAACTTGGTAGGAAGGGGAGTGCCCAGTGGAACTTAATGTCATTATGAAGGAGGCATTGTTGGTAGAACATGGTGTCAATATGAAGGGGACAGTCAACCTGGCCCAGTGCATTTTTTTTTACCCTCTGAATAAAGTTTTATTTCTAGCTTAAAAGTAAATTGTGATTTCTGTTCTGTTGCAGGCTCAGACTTCCTTTGTTATTTTTGTAAAACACCAAATCTATATTTATACCCACATATAATAACAAAACTTTAAGCTGAAATATGTCATAAATAAAGCCCGTCTACAGTCTGACAACTTAATATCAACAATTAAAATAAATCAAACTGGAATGAAATAAATACATTAACAAACATCCAACGATTTGTACCTCTACCACATGTACTGTTGCCTCAAAGGGAAGGCACATAAAGTCAGTAGTATCCCAAGAGTTAATATTGATAACAAGAACACACTGTGAAGTACAAAGGGCTGTTTAAAAGTAAACCAAAAAAACCTGTAATTTTTATGCATTCAGAAAAAGTAACTAGAGAAACCCAAAAGCCCCCAAATTTCAGCATTACACCGTTGACTTGTTTTCTAATAGATTTGGTGATTTTTTTAATACAGGTTTC